TAGTAGTAGTAGTAGTAGTAGTAGTAGTACCAGCACTAGTACTAGTACTAGTACTAGTACTAGTACTAGCAGTAGTATCAGTAGTAGTAGTAGCAGCAGTAGTAGTAGTAGTAGTAGTAGTAGTAGCGGTAATAGTGGTAGTAGTAGTAGTAGTAGTAGTAGTTTGATGGTGAGAGCGGGTATAGTAGTCATTACTACTAGTGACTAGGGATGCTATGGTTGTTTTTAGCATTATCGTTGCGCTTATCATTGTTACTGTTTTTTTCTTATTATGATCGTTCGTACTGTTGCTATTCTGTTTAATTATTGTTATCGTTTCTACCAATATATTTTCTGACGGGCATGATGGATCGGAGGACTGGAGTGGGCTAAGAACCATGCCATCGTGTGCGGTCTGGTCGCAGAGACGGAGGGCAAACTTCATCAAGGGCGGCTCGCCGAAACTTCCTCAACCTAAACTCTAAGCCCATAAGCGCTCACAGCCAGCTGCACCCAACAGCCAAAAACAGCTCTGTAAAACCACCAGATGCGGAAAGATGTTTGGCCACAATCCGAGACCCACGGGTCGTCGCGAACCATGTGAGAAATCCTGAAACAGCGCCTTTCTTGTGTTTTTGTCTCCGTGTGTGAGTATGGACCTGCGGATACTCACTATCAATCCTCGTGTCTTCCGGCTATCCCCATCGGAATCTCACGATGGCGTGTCAGCTATGAAACAGCTGGTAGTCGCTTACATGACATGAGTGCATCCGGTCACAGCTTAAATTTGCATCTGGCAGAACATACCTGAACTACCTGGACCCTTCAATATATATATATATATATAGTACCTTTTTTCGATTACCTTAGTTTCTTATTATAGGATCCCAACCATATAAAATAAGTCATCATAAAAGGTACTACGTTGAAGGGTCTAGGTAAATCCTGACCCCCAAACCCCATAAATGCTGAAGTAACCTTATGGAGCACTTTAAAGGAACCCTTGAAGATCACTAGGGTTCAGGATTCGTATGTAGTCATCACTACTTGTAGAAGCTGACGGGGCAGTAGTGGGGAGCAGGCTTCGACATCGTATGATGGTCGATGTTTAGGGTTTAGGGTTTGGGTTTAGGGTTTAGGGTTTAGGTTGTCATCGGGCGTGTGATCGTGGCAGGGGAGATGAATTGACGACAGGAAAGTAGCCGGGATTCTCGTGAGGCTTGCGCTGGGGCTGCCGTCTACAAGCGCCGGGTGGAAAACCAATGGCTATAGTATATAGCGGCCTTGATCGTTACCTATACTATTTTGGCGGGTTGCTTATTATCACTCTAGTAGAATCTACCCCAAAGCTTGAAACTGTCTTCTGATTATCAAGGCCCCTATGTTAGGAGTCGCAATATTCTTCTCTAGAATGCCTCCTTGGTGAATATTAGCGCCACTGTACAGGCTTCGGGATCACGCAAAATTGCTGAGGTTTGCTGCATGACTGCGTGTCTCATTCACAACTAAGAGTCCAGGGTCAGCAAGAATAATATAGGGGCCTAAGTAATTGCTAGTACTATTGTGGAGTTCCTTATAAGAATATTACATATATATATATACACACCCCAAAGCCCTATTCTACTTATTAAGGCCCCTGCATTAACATACGACAAGCACGCAGCACTGAGAGCGAGGCCACTCAAAACGATCGACGGCGGATTTCCCCATGCATACGCCTTCGCGGCTCTCACTTTGGTAGGACCAGGGAAGGTCATGGCATGCTACCGAAACTGGGCTTTGGAGTACCATACTTTAATACTTTGTTTTGGGACCTGTTCCTCAAAGGAACCATTATGAAATAAAAGTCTATACTTTTTTCTCCCCGCTTACGTCAAAGCCCAGGAAAGTATGAGGGGTGGCCGGCGAGGCAAGACTACTACTGCCGCTTTCTCACAGTTGACGGCGACACCGTCTCCGTGGCTCGGTTCTTGAATCGGATGTGAGTTAGGACAACAAAGAAAGCATCTTCAGAGCCCGATTTATGGCAAGCAAAACCCTAAACCCTGAACCCGTATAAACTCGTACGAACCCCAAAACCCGAAACCCCTAAACCCGTCGAGACCCACAACCTTCTAAGCCCCTACCCTAAGGGTCCAAGTCCCTAATACTCATATACTCTCCCCAAATAGTAACCTACATACCTACTATCCGCAACCAAAGTACCTTATTTTTGGGTCCTTTGGACCCTTAGGGCTAAACCCCAAACCCAGGTTGGGGAAGTCATGACCATCAAGCAACGCTCTTACGGACACGGCCATGCGGTGATGATTGGCGAGACTGAGGAGGGGCCACCTTATATTCGCAGAGTAGGGTTTAGGGTTTAGGGTTTAGGGTTTAGGGTTTAGGTCGCAGAGCTCAAGCCTAAACCCTCAACCCAATGGATCCTTACATGTAATACATTAGGGTTTAGGGTTTAGGGGACCAGTTTTACTGCTTGGATCCTATAGTAAGGAACGAAGGAAACACCCAAAACAGGTACTACATGTAAGGGTCTCCCTTAAATAGAGTATTGCTTTCCTCAGCCCCGAATAACATGGCTCTTTAAGGATCTAGATCGGAATGTTACCCTAAAAGGTAGGTTGTATAGGGTTCCGGTTGGGTGTGTTGTTCCATATGGTATGACCAGGATGGGAGCCTGTTGTTGTTGACAACATGTACCCGAAACGTTTAGGGTTTAGGGTTTAGGGTTTAGGGTTGAACCCCTAAGCTACGCAGGCCCTGCTGTGCTCCTCGTACAATCTCCAGTGCTTCCTCCTCGATGTGGCTGGCTCCGTACCAGTGGTCACCTTTGAATTGGCCATGCCAAATGTCGGCAGCTACTTAGCTAAGTTCAAGACTTTTTTGGGGTTGTAGAGTTCTCGATGCTGCCTAGACACTTAAAGGTAGTACCTTTTTTGTGTTACCTTAGTGCATAATTACATGTAAGGGTCTAGGTACCGCCAATTTGTGCGAGTTGTGTTGCTGAGCTTTTCTCCGATGGTTTTGGGATCGTTGGGTTGCGGTGAGTTCTGACTTCTGGGCGGCGGATGTAGGGGGGAGACACAGCTTCGTCAAGTGGATTCAGTCCTAAGCCCTCATAGGGCCTTGTCGAAATCCAGGTCACCGGTTGGGAAGGATGGCGCTCCTTCGTTTATGGAGCGATCGAGCCATGTACTGCTGGGACATCCGTCGAGTGAATGCCGGCCTGGGGAACGGATACTGCGTCGTCGTCACCTGCAAGGATGTTTTGAAGTCCTCCGCCGACCAAAGCTCCGAAACCTTGGCCCCTAAAACACTTAGACCCTAAGCCCTAAACCCTAAACCCTAAGCCCTAATTTCAAGCTTCACCGGCCAGGACAAGAAGTGTTCCGTGGGCGAGAAGTTCCATCCCAACGATTCAGACTCGGAGAATTCTCCAAGAGGGGCTGATATCGACGCGGTCATGCTGGCGCCGGGCAAGGTGGGAACGTGCACCCAAGATCTCAACAACGACGGGTACCACGTTAAGGACGAGTATCACAAGGCGGGCTGATGCGTGAACCCTAAACCCTAAACTCTAAACCCTGAAACCCTGAAACCCTGAAACCCTAAACCCTAAACCCTGCGCCCTAAACGCTTCGACAGGCCGCTTGCCACACTGTGCCGAGAGCGAGCAGGACAGGTACATCCGTGAGAAGCTAGGCCCGG